CCCTAAGTCTATAGGGTCTCTGGAACAAGGGCGTTCCCGTGGCTAACAAAACCTTCCCAAAAAAGGTGAGTTATGAGTTTTACCTACCACCCGGGGAGTAATGTCGACTGAAATTTTATATACAAAAATATATAATAAATAAAATATATATATATATTATATATATATACTATATTTTTTTTATAAAAAATATATTATGCCCAAAAAAACTAAATCTGAAAAAAATAGAAAATTCCCAAACGGCTTTCGTGCTTTCTCACATTTTCAAGGGAAATATGATGCTGGGGGGTAGTCCCCGAATGCGCTTGGGTTTTCTTATTCTTTCAGGGGTGGTTTTTTTTTGCATATTTTTGAAATCACCTGTTTTTCTGTGATTTATTGCATATATATATATATATATATATATTATATTATTTTATATAATATTATATATTAAAAATTATAAAATATATATAATTTTATATATATTTTATTTTTATTATCACAATGGCCCATTCCCACCAAGGCCGGGTGGCCCGAAAAAAAAAAAAAAACTTTCCCATCATTCACCTCCATCACTGTCTTGCCAGAAGGGGGGCTTTACACTTAAAAAAAAAATTTTTAAAACGCAACATTAAAAACCCCCCTTCAGAGTGCAGGCCCCTGTACTTTCCCCCTCCAGGACTCAAGTCCCGGGCCCGCCCGGGTTTCCCGAACCCCTTCATAAAAGTTACTTTGCCACCTCCAACACACTTTAAGTTTTTAAAAACCCTTTTTTTCCCTTCACTCCTACCCCAAAAACGCTCACGCAAAGCCTGCGGGGAAATCCAAGCCCCTCGCACACAAAACCTCCTTTTCCCCCTCTCTCCAACCTTTTTCCTTTGGCCGACCCCCCCCCGGGCCCCCTTTTTTTTCCCCCTTTCAGGGTGATGCACCTTTTTGAAGTCCCTTCGTTTCGCTCCATTTTCTCTACATGTCCCAACCACCCCAAAACCCTTTTTTCCCCGGGCCCCCGGACAAAAGTTTTGGTAATCCCGCCCCCTCCTCCAACCCTTTCCCAAAATACGGAAATTTTCCCGCCTTTTTAGTCCACCACACATTGCTCTAGACATGGGCAACTCCACGGCCCCCAGCCCCTTCCCTCGCTGCAACATTCATCCCCCAGCTCACACCCATATAAGAGCGTTTTGGGAAAACTATTTCTCTCATACCCTTCCCCCCCTTTGCCCCCAAGGACAAAGTTTTTTGTCTCCACAGACTCCTAATGGGACCACTCACTCCCTTTTCCCCTCATCAATTTTTATGAGTCACCTCATCCCTTTTAAGGGCCCATCGTGAACCGTCCACTCCCCAAAAATCTGAATACATTTACCTCCCCATACCTCCCCCTCCAATCTGGGTATTTTAATCTTTATCCCCCTAATCCCTTTTTTTTATCCCCATAACCTTACTCTTTCCTGTATTTTACCCCTTTTAATTTTTTTCTTTTGCACACCCTACCAAATTCACCCCCTATCTCTGCAAAAATTTTTCCCAAATCTCCCCCAAGACACGTGGCATCAGCAAAAAGGGATCTGTGACAATCCCCCTTTGTGTGTGATTTTTTTTATCCCTTTTAAATCCAAAGGGCCCCTTGCCAAGACCCTCGCAAAATTTTTTCTCCTTTCAACCCCCTCTATAAAATATTAAACAACCACGGTGACATCACACATCCTTGTCTAAGGCCTACTTTTACTGGGAAATAATTTCCCTCTTTCCTACATACTCTAACTTGAGCCTCACTATCCTCGTACAAACTCTTCACTGCTTTCAGTAACCTACCTCCTACACCATACACTTGCAACATCTGCCACATTGCCCCCCTATCCACCCTGTCATACGCCTTTTCCAAATCCATAAATGCCACAAAGACCTCGTTAGCCTTATCTAAATACTGTTCACTTATATGTTTCACTGTAAACACCTGGTCCACACACCCCCTACCTTTCCTAAAGCCTCCTTGTTCATCTGCTATCCTATTCTCCGTCTTACTCTTAATTCTTTCAATAATAACTCTACCATACACTTTACCAGGTATACTCAGCAGACTTATCCCCCTATAATTTTTGCACTTTCTTTGATCCCCTTTGCCTTTATACAAAGGAACTATGCATGCTCTCTGCCAATCCCTAGGTACCTTACCCTCTTCCATAACATTTATTAAATAATTGCACCAACCACTCCAAAACTATATCCCCACCTTCTTTTAAACATTTCTATCTTTATCCCATCAATCCCGGCTGCCTTACCCCTTTCATTTTACCTACTGCCTCACGAACTTCCCCCACACTCACAACTGGCTCTTCCTCACTCCTACAAGATGTTTATTCCTCCTTGTCCTATACACAAAATCACAGCTTCCCTATCTTCATCAACATTTAACAATTCTCAAAATATTCCCTCCATCTTCCCAATACCTCTAACTCTCCATTTAATAACTCTCCTCTCCTATTTTTAACTGACAAATCCATTTGTTCTCTAGGCTTTCTTAACTTTGTTAATCTCACTCCAAAACTTTTTCTTATTTTCAACAAAATTTGTTGATAACATCTCACCCACTCTCTCATTTGCTCTCTTTTACATTGCTTCACCACTCTCTTAACCTCTCTCTTTTTCTCCATATACTCTTCCCTCCTTGCATCACTTCTACTTTGTAAAAACTTCTCATATGCTAACTTTTTCTCCCTTACTACTCTCTTTACATCATCATTCCACTAATCGCTCCTCTTCCCTCCCGCACCCACTTTCCTGTAACCACAAACTTCTGCTGAACACTCTAACACTACATTTTTAAACCTACCCCATACCTCTTCGACCCCATTGCCTATGCTCTCATTAGCCCATCTATCCTCCAATAGCTGTTTATATCTTACCCTAACTGCCTCCTCTTTTAGTTTATAAACCTTCACCTCTCTCTTCCCTGATGCTTCTATTCTCCTTGTATCCCATCTACCTTTTACTCTCAGTGTAGCTACAACTAGAAAGTGATCTGATATATCTGTGGCCCCTCTATAAACATGTACATCCTGAAGTCTACTCAACAGTCTTTTATCTACCAATACATAATACAACACACTACTGTCATTTCGCCCTACATCATATCTTGTATACTTATTTATCCTCTTTTTCTTAAAATATGTATTACCTATAACTAAACCCCTTTCTATACAAAGTTCAATCAAAGGGCTCCCATTATCATTTACAACCTGGCACCCCAAACTTACCTACCACACCCTCTCTAAAAGTTTCTCCTACTTTAGCATTCAGGTCCCCTACCACAATTACTCTCTCACTTGGTTCAAAGGCTCCTATACATTCACTTAACATCTCCCAAAATCTCTCTCTCTCCTCTACATTCCTCTCTTCTCCAGGTGCATACACGCTTATTATGACCCACTTTTTGCATCCAACCTTTACTTTAATCCACATAATTCTTGAATTTACACATTCATATTCTCTTTTCTCCTTCCATAACTGATCATTTAACATTACTGCTACCCCTTCCTTTGCTCTAACTCTCTCAGCATCCCAGTTTTATAAAGTTTTTCTTCTTCTCTTTTTTAGTAAATGTCTACAGGAGAAGGGGTTACTAGCCCATTGCTCATATATATATATATATATATATATATATATAATATATATATATATATATATATATATATATATATATATATATATATATATATATATATCTATATATATATATATATATATATATATATATATATATATATATTATATATATATATTATATATATATATATAATATATATATATATATATATATATCCTCTCTGATCTCCGTTATAGCGACCTCACATTGTCTTTCAAAGATTTTCTTAGTCAATATACTTTTGATGTAAATGGTCACACGGTAAATATATGCATTCTTTTCTTACCTTTCTTAATAACTACATAGCACATGATTTGCCCAATACTAAAATTGTATCTTCACAAAGAACTGCATCGGATAAAACACAGTTCTTATTGACTTCTTTTGCTGCCAGACTCAGCCAGGCTTTGTAGCCTGGTAGTCTTTGTAGCCTTTGTAGCCTGGTAGTCTTTGTAGCCTTTGTAGCCTGGTAGTCTTTGTAGCCTTTGTAGCCTGGTAGTCTTTGTAGCCTTTGTAGCCTGGTAGTCTTTGTAGCCTTTGTAGTCTGGTTGTCATGTTGACTGATGTCAACATGACAACCACAAGGTCCAGTTGTCACCATTAACATTTTACCCCTCGTGGCCTATAACTTACAGTCACCCCCATAGATGACAAACAAGGGTATTACTTTTTGGGAAGGAAACATTAACTCTGCCACCATGACCTGTTGCTCGGTTGGTAGCGCACCCACCTCGCACACTGAGGTCCGTGGCTCGATCCCCGTTACGGGTACAAACATTGGAGCGTGTTTTCATAAGACACCTACTGTACCTGTTCACGTAGGTACCTGGGTGTTAGCCGACTGGTTGTGGGTCGCATCCTTTGAATAAAACCTAAATTGCCCGAAATACTCTGCATAACCAGGGGCTTTCTATATAGTACGTCACTGATGTCAGTTGTGGTCTGTATAACATGTATTATGTTCTTGTAGAAATAAAGATTGTTAATATTAATGACGGAATCAAACCTATAAAACCTGGCACTGCCCATTCATGACCCCAGCAGATATAGTTCTTGCCCGTCATTATAACAGTAATTAGGTACAACATGGATCTTTGCTGGTAACGCCAGTAACATTACTTGTCCTGTCCTCAGGCAAGATGAACCCGCAAGACTTCCTGAAGGAGGCCCAGTTGCTGAAGAGTCTCCGTCACCCCAAGTTGCTGCAGTTGTACGCCGTCTCCAGCCGGGAGGAACCCATCCTCATTATTACGGAACTCATGTGCAACGGCTCACTCCTAGACTATCTCAGAGGTACATTCTCTCTCTCTCTCTCTCTCTCTCTCTCTCTCTCTCTCTCTCTTACTTCTTCTGCCGCCACTGTTTTCTCCCCCACACCCCTCTACCATCACCACCACCACTGGTTTCTCCCTCACTATCACCCCTAAATCTTCACCCACCCCTAACATCACCTCCAACCTCACTCCCACTACCCTTGGCAGCAGTCAGCATTTGCCACAGGATATATACACCAAAAGATGTATATCTTTCAGTGTAGAGTTTACTGTAATCCATATGTTAGGAATTAAAATATTCTTCGCCGGTGGTGAATAGGTGATGCGCAAGACCTTGTATGGTTGATAGGCTTTAAAGACCATTAACCAAGTGGTCCATTCAACAGGTCGTGAGGGTCGTCTTCCCCTGACGGATCAGGTGTACATAGGTGCCCAGGTGGCGTGTGGCATGGAGTACCTGGAGAACCTGAACTTCATCCACCGCGACCTGGCTGCCAGGAACGTCCTCGTGGGGCAAGACCACATCGTCAAGGTCGCAGACTTCGGGCTTTCACGATTCTTGCTGGTAAGAACTGTGTATGTGTGTGTGCGCTCACCTACTTGTGGTTGCAGGGGTCGAATCATAGCTCTTGGCCCTGCCTCTTCACTGGTCGCTGTGTGTGTGTATGTGCGTACTCACCTATTTGTACTCACCTGTTTGTGGTTGCATGGGTTGAGTCTTAGCTCCTGGCCCTACCTCTTCGCTACTAGGTCCACTTTCTCCCGGCTCCAAGAGCCTTATCGTACCTCGTGCCTCCACTACTACCCTGTCCAGATTGTTCCATTTCCTGACAACTCTGTGACCGAATAAATACTTCCTAACATCTTTATAACTCATCTGAGTTGTCAACTTACATTTGCGTCCCCCTGTTGCTGTCTCCCATCTCTGAAACATTCTAGCCCTGTCCACCTTGTTAATTCCTCTCAGTATTTTATACGTCATTATCATGTGTTGTTCCTATTTATATAACTGTTTTAAATGGATTGATTTATCGACCGATGTCTGGCATTAAAGACTCGAAGTTGTGTGTGTGCGTGTCTGTGTGTACTCGCAACAATTGTACTCTTAGTATGTTTGAATTATTAACTGGCGTAACTGCCCCGTCAGGAGGACGAGTACAACGCCCAGGAAGGCACCAGGTTCCCCATCAAGTGGACAGCACCAGAGGCTCTCAACTTTAACAAGTTTACCACTAAGTCTGATGTCTGGTCCTTCGGTGTTTTGCTGATGGAGATTGTTACCTTCGGCGCCACACCATATCCAGGTCACTCTCATATTCCACTACCCAGGTCACTCTCACGTCATGTTCCATTACCCAGGTCACTCTCACGTCATGTTCCACTACCCAGGTCACTCTCACGTCATGTTCCACTACCCAGGTCATTGTCACGTCATGTTCGACTACCCAGGTCACTCATGTCATGCTTCACTACCCAGGTGACTGTCACGTCATGTTCTACCCAGGTCACTGTCACGTCATGTTCTACCCAGGTCACTGTCACGTCATGTTCTACCCAGGTCACTCACGTCATGTTCCACTACCCAGGTCACTCACGTCATGTTCTACTACCAAGGTCACTGTCACGTCATGTTCTACCCAGGTCACTCACGTCACGTCATGTTCTACCCAGGTCACTATCATGTCATGTTCTACTACGCAGGTCATTCTCACGTCATGTTCCACTACCCAGGTCACTCTCACGTCATGTTCTACCCAGGTCATTCACGTCATGATCTAATACCCAGGTCACTCTCACGTCATATTCTACTACCCAGGTCACTGTCATGTCATGTTCTACTACCCAGGTCACTGTCACGTCATGTTCTACTACCCAGGTCACTCTCATGTCATGTTCTACTACCCAGGTCACTCTCACGTCATGTTCTACTACCCAGGTCACTCTCATGTCATGTTCTACTACCCAGGTCACTCTCATATCATGTTCTACTACCCAGGTCACTTCATGTCATGTTCTACTACCCAGGTCACTCTCATGTCATGTTCTACTACCCAGGTCACTCTCATGTCATGTTCTACTACCCAGGTCACTGTCACGTCATGTTCTACTACCCAGGTCACTCTCATGTCATGTTCTACTACCCAGGTCACTCTCATGTCATGTTCTACTACCCAGGTCACTCTCATGTCATGTTCTACTACCCAGGTCACTCTCATGTCATGTTCTACTACCCAGGTCACTCTCATGTCATGTTCTACTACCCAGGTCACTGTCACGTCATGCTGTACTATCCAGGTCACTGTCATTTCACGTTCTCCTACCAGGTCACTCTTAATTATTATTATTATTATTATTATTATTATTATTATTATTATTATTATTATTATTATTATTATTATTATTATTGAAGGTAAGGTTCATGTTGTTATTGGATGTCATAAGTCCCAATACGTCAATTTTATTCAATATATATTGATAATCATTACATTCAGTAGCTAAAGAATGCTTCTTCCGATCGGCTTCAGAATGTCAACACTGACGCACGCTGTAACAAGGATGATGCTCTGCAAATTTAGTCTGAGTGAGCGCTTATTTAAAACCTTGGGATAAGATTTTGTTGGGATTTTTAACTCCAGACGGTTAGCCAGCCAGGATAACCCCCCAAGAAAGTCAGTGCGTCACCGAGGACTGTTATTTCTATTGTATCCTTTGATGTTGTCCCCCAGGATGCCACCCACACCAGTCGACTAACACCCAGGTACCTACTTGCTTGCTAGGTGAACGGGACAACAGGTGTAAACACGCCCAGTGTTTCCACCCTTGCCGGGGATCGAACCACGGACACTCGGTTTGTGAAGCAAGAGTGTCGCCTACCAGGCCACGGGCCACCACGGTGAAATCAAATAAATTACTGGAGAACGCTTCTTCTAATAGGCTTCAAACTTTCACCGTTGGCGGGCTTTATTACAAGAAATATTGTAGCTCATTCTGAGCTGTGTAAATTTCAGTCTGCCAGTTTTATTAAAAAATACTTCCCATGTAATAACTAGCGAACACTTCATCTAATTGGTTTCAAACCCTAAATGCTGGTGTATCTTAATTGGAAGTGTTTTTGTGCTGATTATGGGCTGTGCGGGAGCCAATTTCCCAATTTTTAAGCAATTTTATCAAATTGGGTGCTGGTGAGGGGTCTTGATCCAAGCCTTCTGTGTAGGCGAAACGCTTGGGAAATTGAGCAACCTAACTGGTGTAAAATGTACAAATATTCTATTCCCACCCTGCACTATTCCTTTTGCGTTCATTGAGATAGATGGGTTTGGGCTTATTGAATACGGGGATAACTTTCTGGAATCGCTTGTTGATCTGACAGAAGCGTTAACATCTTAAATCGTAAAGTCCACAAGCCTTACACCTAATACGCAGCTTTATGTGCAGGTATGACGAACGTGGAGGTGGCGCAGCAGGTGCAGCAGGGATATAGGATGCCCCAGCCCAAGAGCTGCCCACATCAGCTCTACAACATCATGCTGCAGTGCTGGGCCCACGACCCTCACAAACGACCCACCTTTGAGACCCTCCACTGGAAACTGGACGATTTCTTTACCTTAGAAGACTCCGACTACCGTGACCTGGTGCAGTAGTCAGTCCTCAGTGATAGCATCCTAAGTACGACTACCGTGACCTGGTGCAGTAGTCAGTCCTCAGTGATAGCATCCTAAGTACGACTACCGTGACCTGGTGAAGTAGCCAGTCTTCAGAGTGATAACACCCTAGGTACGACTACCGTGACCTGTTGAAGTAGTCCGTCTTCAGTGATAGCATCCTAAGTACGACTACCGTGACCTGGTGAAGTAGTCCGTCTTCAGTGATAGCATCCTAAGTACGACTACCGTGACCTGGTGAAGTAGTCCGTCTTCAGTGATAGCATCCTAAGTACGACTACCGTGACCTGTTGAAGTAGTCCGTCTTCAGTGATAGCATCCTAAGTACGACTACCGTGACCTGTTGAAGTAGTCCGTCTTCAGTGATAGAATCCTAAGTACGACTACCGTGACCTGGTGCAGTAGTCAGTCCTCAGTGATAGCATCCTAAGTACGACTACCGTGACCTGTTGAAGTAGTCCGTCTTCAGTGATAGCATCCTAAGTACGACTGCCGTGACCTGGTGAAGTAGTCAGTCCTCAGTGATAGCATCCTAAGTACGACTGCCGTGACCTGGTGAAGTAGTCCGTCTTCAGTGATAGCATCCTAAGTACGACTACCGTGACCTGGTGCAGTAGTCAGTCCTCAGTGATAGCATCCTAAGTACGACTACCGTGACCTGGTGAAGTAGTCCGTCTTCAGTGATAGCATCCTAAGTACGACTACCGTGACCTGGTGCAGTAGTCAGTCCTCAGTGATAGCATCCTAAGTACGACTACCGTGACCTGGTGAAGTAGTCGTCTCCTTCCTCCACACACACGCCATCAGTCCATATTCTTTCCTTTATGGGGATAAAAAAACAAGAGATTATAATTCCCATGTAACAGTAACTGTAGCCTTGCTGGAACGATAGTTTTAAGGGCTCTAGTTACTAGTAGTTACTGAACCCAGAGTGCCATTCATAACATATCCTCATTACTCTGCTACAATATTCCAGCACTGGCTAGCTAGAGTATACCTGGATACCTGGAGTATACCTAGAGGGTGTTCCAGGGGTCAGTGCCCCCGCGGACCAGTGCATGACCAGGCCTCGCGGTGGAACAGGGTCTGATCAGCACCAACACCAGTGCAAGTTTCTGTCTCTGACAACTGCTGCAACACCAGTGCAAGTTTCTGTCTCTGACAACTGGTGCAACACCAACACCAGTGCAAGTTTCTGTCTCTGACAACTGCTGCAACACCAGTGCAAGTTTCTGTCTCTGACAACTGCTGCAACACCAACACCAGTGCAAGTTTCTGTCTCTGACAACTGCTGCAACACCAACACCAGTGCAAGTTTCTGTCTCTGACAACTGCTGCAACCCCCAGTGCAAGTTTCTGTCTCTGACAACTGCTGCAACACCAACACCAGTGCAAGTTTCTGTCTCTGACAACTGCTGCAACACCAACACCAGTGCAAGTTTCTGTCTCTGACAACTGCTGCAACACCAGTGCAAGTTTCTGTCTCTGACAAACTGCTGCAACACCAGTGCAAGTTTCTGTCTCTGACAACGCTGCTACACCAGTGCAGTTTCTGTCTCTGACAACTGCTTTCAACACCAGTGCAAGTTTCTGTCTCTGACAACTGCTGCAACACCAGTGCAAGTTTCTGTCTCTGACCCAACTGCTGCAACACCAACACCAGTGCAAGTTTCTGTCTCTGACAACTGCTGCAACACCAGTGCAATGTTTCTGTCTCTGACAACTGCTGCAACACCAGTGCAAGTTTCTGTCTCTGACAACTGCTGCAACACCAGTGCAAGTTTCTGTCTCTGACAACTGCTGCAACACCAGTGCAAGTTTCTGTCTCTGACAACTGCTGCAACACCAGTGCAATTTCTGTCTCTGAACAAACTGCTGCAACGCCCAGTGCAAGTTTCTGTCTCTGACAACTGCTGCACACCAACACCAGTGCAAGTTTCTGTCTCTGACAACTGCCCGCAACACCAGTGCAAGTTTCTGTCTCTGACAACTGCTGCACACCAGTGCAAGTTTCTGTCTCTGACAACTGCTGCAACACACAACACCAGTGCAAAGTTTCTGTCTCTGACAAACTGCTGCCAACACTAGTGCAAGTTTCTGTCTCTGACAACTGCTGCAACACCAGTGCAAGTTTCTGTCTCTGACAACTGCTGCAACACCAGTGCAAGTTTCTGTTCTGACAACTGCTGCAACACCAGTGCAAGTTTCTGTCTCTGACAACTGCTGCAACACCAGTGCAAGTTTCTGTCTCTGACAAACTGCTGCAACACCAACACCACAGTGCAAGTTTCTGTCTCTGACAACTGCTGCAACACCAGTGCAAGTTTCTGTCTCTGACAAACTGCTGCAACATCCAGTGCAAGTTTCTGTCTCTGACAACTGCTGCAACACCAGTGCAAGTTTCTGTCTCTGAAACTGCTGCAACACCAGTGCAGTTTCTGTCTCTGACAACTGCTGCAACCTACCAGTGCAAGTTTCTGTCTCTGACAACTGCTGCAACACCAACACCAGTGCAAGTTTCTGTCTCTGACAACTGCTGCAACACCAGTGCAAGTTTCTGTCTCTGACAACTGCTGCAACACCAGTGCTAGTTTCTGTCTCTGACAACTGCTGCAAACACAACCCAGTGCAAGTTTCTGTCTCTGACAACCTGCTGCAACACCAGTGCAAGTTTCTGTCTCTGACAACTGCTGCAACACCAGTGCAAGTTTCTGTCTCTGACAACTGCTGCAACACCAGTGCAAGTTTCTGTCTCTGACAACTGCTGCAACACCAACACCAGTGCAAGTTTCTGTCTCTGACAACTGCTGCAACACCAACACCAGTGCAAGTTTCTGTCTCTGACAACTGCTGCAACACCAGTGCAAGTTTCTGTCTCTGACAAACTGCTGCAACACCAGTGCAAGTTTCTGTCTCTGACAACTGCTGCAACACCAACACCAGTGCAAGTTTCTGTCTCTGACAACTGCTGCAACACCAACACCAGTGCAAGTTTCTGTCTCTGACAACTGCTGCAACACCAGTGCAAGTTTCTGTCTCTGACAACTGCTGCAACACCAGTGCAAGTTTCTGTCTCTGACAACTGCTGCAACACCATGTGTTAGTTTCTGTCTCTGACAACTGCTGCAACACCAGTGCAAGTTTCTGTCTCTGACAACTGCTGCAACACCAGTGCAAGTTTCTGTCTCTGACAACTGCTGCAACACCAACACCAGTGCAAGTTTCTGTCTCTGACAACTGCTGCAACACCAGTGCAAGTTTCTGTCTCTGACAACTGCTGCAACACCAGTGCAAGTTTCTGTCTCTGACAACTGCTGCAGCACCAGTGCAAGTTTTTGGATGTACTGACAGTTAGTTTAACATCTTTCTGCACCGCAGAACCATCATGTGGGCGGTAGTCAAAGGATTACAGAGGTACATAATGGTTCTAAGATCCACCGGTACTGGTCTGGGACTGCACCACGAGTACTGGTCTGGCACTGCACCACGAGTACTGGTCTGGCACTGCACCACGAGTACTGGTCTGGCACTGCACCACGAGTACTGGTCTGGCACTGCACCGCGAGCATTGGTCTGGCACTGCACCACGAGTACTGGTCTGGGACTGCACCACGAGAACTGGTCTGGCACTGCATCACGAGGACTGGTCTGGCACTGCACCACGAGTACTGGTCTGGCACTGCATCACGAGGACTGGTCTGGCACTGCATCACGATGACTAGTCTGGGACTACACCACGAAGACTGGTCTGGGACTGCACCAGGAGGAGTGGTCTGGGACTGCACCACGAGAACTGGTCTGGCACTGCACCGCGAGAGCTGGTCTGGCACTGTACGAGGACTGGTCTGGCACTGTACCACGAGGACTGGTCTGGCACAGCACCACGAGGACTGATCTGGCACTGCACCGCGAGGCCTGGTCTGGCACTGTACCACGAGGACTGGTCTGGCACTGTACCAAGACAACTGGTCTCGCACTGCACTACGAGAATTGGTCTGGCACTGTACCACGAGGACTGGTCTGGCACTGTACCACGAGGACTGGTCTGGCACTGTACCACGAGGACTGGTCTGGCACTGTACCACAGGACTGGTCTGGCACTGTACCACGAGGACTGGTCTGGCACTGTACCACGAGGACTGGTCTGGCACTGTACCACGAGGACTGGTCTGGCACTGTACCACGAGGACTGGTCTGGCACTGTACCACGAGGACTGGTCTGGCACTGTACCACGAGGACTGGTCTGCACTGTACCACGAGGACTGGTCTGGCACTGTACCACGAGGACTGGTCTGGCACTGTACCACGAGGACTGGTCTGGCACTACACCGTGAAGACCATGATCTCATAGAAGTTACCTACATAAAGTTCTAATTAAAGACTTTTTAAATTTTTCCCACAAAAGTTACTAAAAAGTTACTACAAGTTCTACTTAAAGTTTCCTTAATTCCCTTTGTTACACAAGTTGATTTACCAAATGTTCCTACAAAAGTTATTTCCCCAAAAGCCCTCTAAATTCCCACAAGGTTCCTTAAAGCCCTTCTAAAGTTACCACAAAAGTTATTACAAATTTCCTAAAAAAGTACCACAAAGTTTTCCTTAAAAGGGGTACCTCATAAGCCCTACATAAATTTTCCTACAAAAAGTTCCCTACAAAAAGTTCCCTAATAAAGTTACCTAATAAGTTACCTACTAAATTTTTCCAAAATAAATTCCCACATAAAGTTCCCAAAATAAAGTTACCTACTTAAAGTTAAAAAAGGTTACTACATAAATTACACATAAAGTTTCCCTTTTTTCAAATAAAAGTTCCCTACATAAAGTTCCCTACAAAAAGTTCCCTACATAAGTTACCTACATAAAAAAGTTACTTCATGTTCCCTACTTAATTCTACATAATTACCTACATTCCTACAAAAGTTACCTACATAAAAGTTCCTAAAAAATTTACCTACAAAAAGTTACCTAAAAAAAAGTTACTACAAAAAGTTCCCAAAAAAAAACTTAATTTTTTTCCCTACAAAAGTTACCTACAAATTCCCTACTAAATTTTCCTACAAAAATTTCCCTACAAAAATGTTTAACCACAAAAGTTACCTACATAAAAGTTACCACAAAAAGTTCCTCAAAAAGTTACCTAAAAAATTCCCTCTTAAAAGTTCTACTTTAGTTACCTACAAAGTTCCCATAAAGTTACCTAAAAAAGTTACCTACAAAAATTTCCCTACAAAAAGTTACCTACAAAAAAATTACCTACAAAAAGTTCCCTACAAAAAAGTTACCTACATAAAGTTACCAAAAAAGTTCCTACATAAAGTTAGTTCCCTCCCAAAAGTTCCCTACATAAAGGGTACCTACAAAAAAGTTATACATAAATTCCCCCTACATAAAGTTACCACAAAATTTCCCTACAAAAAGTTACCTAAAAAAATTTTACCTAATATTTTACCTAAAAAAAGTTACTTAATAAATTTACCTACAAAAAGACCTCAAAAAGTTACCTACTAATTACTAATAATTTCCTACAAAAAGTTATAAGTTAAAATAAAGTTATACAAAAAAGTTACCTAAAAAAGTTCCCTACATAAAGTTACCTACAAAAAGTTACCTCTTAAGTTATTCCAAAAAATTTACCTACAAAAGTTCCCTACATAAAGTTCCCCTTAAATAAGGTTACCTCAAAAAGTTACCTACATAAAGTTACCTAATAAAGTTATTAGTTACCTAAAAAATTTTTTTTAAAAGTTACCTACAAAAAGTTACTTAAAAAAGTTACCAATAAATTCCCTACTAAATTTAAACTACATAAAGGGGTTACTACATAAAATTTAAAACCTACAAAAAGTTACCTACTTAAAGTTACCTCATAAGTTCCAATAAATTCCTACATAAGTTACCTACATAAATTTCCCACATAAGTTACCTACATAAAGTTCCTACTAAAGTTCCTACATAAATTTTTACCTACTAAGTTACCAAAAAAGTTCCCTACTTAAAGTTACCTACATAAAGTTACCTAATAAAAATTTCTACAAAAAGTTTTCCTACATAAAGTTTTATCAAAAAAATTTTAATTAACAAAAAAGTTAACTACAATAAGTTACCTACAAAAAGTTACCTACATAAAGTTACCTCAAAAAATTTTCCTAAAAAAATTACCCAAAAAGTTACCTACATAAAGTTCCCTATAAATTTAAAAACCTACTAAAGTTCCCTAATAAAGTTTCCTACATAAGTTCCTACATAAAGCCAAAAAACCTTTTCATAAAGTTCCAAATTTAAAGTTACCTCAAAAAAATTACCTA